ACATCATTAATCCAACACATCCATAAGTAATTCTAATGGTTACTTTATACATGTATTAATTATAACGTTCTATGATTATCTCCATGAACATAACTGCCTTTTCAATTTTTTCTCCATCAGTATGTCTTCGATGTTTTATTACTAATGTAATTTTTTGGGTATATTATCTTTTCAGTCACAAAATATGCTATGTTTATCATTTTTGTTATAATGTTTAACAGATCATTCAATGTATAAAAATCTTTAACAGATCATTGAATAATTATTTAACAGATCTGTTATTGTATAAGAATTCAATTTTGTTCAATTTTATTTAACAGATCTGCTATTGTATAAAAATCTTTAACAGATCTGTTATTGTATAAGAATTCATTTTTGTTCCTAAACCTAATTATTTCTCTCTCGGTAATCATTAAATAATCATTGAATAATATATCTTTAACAGATCAATAACATATATAACAGATCAATAACTTAGAGAGAAAAGATCAATAACATTATATTATCTTCCATCAATAACAGATCAATAACATATATTCCATCATCTTTAACAGATCAATAACATATATTTAACATTCTATTATCTTCCATTATCTATATATATATAATATATATATATATATTTGTGATCAATAACCATAAAAACCATATCATATATATATATATATATTTAACAGATCGAGATTAGATCGAGATCATATATATATATACTAGCGATATATATGTGTGTGTGTGTGTATGTAAACCAGAATTAGATCGAGATCCTGAAATAGAGAGAGAGAGAGAGGGAGAGAGAGAGAGATACCATTTGAAATTGGCGGTGAGGGAGGATCGCTAGCGTGGGAGGAGTGGCACTGTGGCGGTGAGGGGCGAGGAGCCGTCGTGTGTGAGAGAGAGAGAGAGAAGCGGTGGTGAGGGAGGAGGATCGACAATGAGGTACGGGCAACGGTGAAGGACGATCGGCGCCGTCGTTGTGCGAAAGAGACGGAGATAGGAAGGCGAAACCCTTGAGAGAGAGAGAGAGGGGGCAGACACAACGACTCTGTCTGTGTGCGTGTTGTGTGTGAAATAAAACCCTACACACACACACGTGTTATATATAAGTAGGGGCAAAATAATAAATTCACATCGGGGGGAACGGGGCCGGGGATCGGGGCTGGGGTCGGGCCGGGTCCGGGGCTGAAACATTAATCCCCATCCCGGGCCCGAATATCATCGAGGATTTAATTTTTAATACTATCCCCGACCCGTCGGGGGTATTTTTCGGAGAATAACCGCTCAATTCGGGGTCGGGGGATTGGGTCCCCGTCGGGCTGGGTTCCGATTGCCATCTCTATTATTCACGTTTGGCGCTTTGTCATTTAGGCAATGATTTTATGTAAAATCTATCATTATTTTATGTATTATATGAACTGCACTATATTGAAGATGGATTAACAAGGGAAAAAAAAAAATATTGATACAAACGTCCAGGGGTTATTTACATAGATACTACTTAAACAATTGAAAAATATCATTTTGACCCTCTAAATTATAAAAATGTACAAATGGACTCCATAAACTATTAAAAAATATCGCTTTGTCCCCTAAACTATAAAAACATATAAATAGATCTCATAAACTATTAATATTTTTCACTTTGACCCCTTCCATTAGGGAGTCTAATTGGTATATTTTTATAGTTTAAGGGGGTTAAAGTGATATTTCTCAATAGTTTAGAGGATCTATTTGTATGCTTTTATAGTTTAGGGAGTCAAAGTAATATTTTTAATAGTTTAAGGGCCTCTATGTAAATAACCCAACATCTAGCTACTAGTATTGAAGTTGATAAATCCAAATAAATATATTAGCATAAATAGAAAGGAAAAACATGTAATTTGAAATATTTTAGTGAAAGAAAATTAAGGTGAATATGAAATTTATTTGAAATTAAAATTTTGAAAGATTATTCGTACGCATTATGAAAAATTTTCAACGAGCCCCTTCTCCCTCACCCCCCACTGGTAAGCCTCTCTCTCACCAAGGACCCATCATCCCTCTCCTTAGGCCCCTCTCTTGACCACTGCAACCCCCTCTTTGGTTCTTATTTCCACTAGCGAGACCCATTACAACCCCATCTCACTGCGCCTTCCTTCACCACTGTGAATACCCTTTCCCCAGCCCCAATTAGTAGGCCCTCTTCCCTGCCAATGGGTTAAAAGTCACTTCTCAGTTTTTAACTCACTTTCCTCTCTCACAAAAAAATTTTAAAAAAATTAAATAACAACTTTTAACCATCTTTCCAAAACACTCCTTAAATGGAGTAAAATAATGCATTCCAAAACGAACATGATAGTTAGTCTAGTAGTCTACATAATTATTCTTTAAGATAGTGACAATGTCAGAAGTTTATGATTCTAGTTGATGGAACAACTATAACTCTTTTATTGTAATTTTACTTTTTAATCAACTAATATCTTATTATTTGCCCAAAAAAATAATAATGGGATTAGGGTGAAACATTAATAAATTTTAAACTATGATATTGTAAACTGTTTAATTCTTCATTTTTTCTTATGAATCCAAAGGCCCCATTAAAGTAAAAAATTACACAAAGTCACTTATACGTTTGGATTTAATTTTTTAGGGATAAAATTAGATTTCTCCAAATGTAAAATTACACATTTAGACAATCCTCATTATAAAAGTTTTGGATTTTTCCTCATTTTGAAACAAATTTCACATTACGAATGTAATATACCAATAACGTAACACTCTAATGTAATATTTTAATAATGTAACACTCTAATGCAACACACTAAAAAAGTCCTTTATGTACTTTTTCTAAGCGTAACACTCCAATCAATGTAATCTCAGACGTAACATTTCAATGTAACATACTCCAATGTAACACACAAAAACATTATAAAACTCTTTAATGTACATTTTCCAAACATAATACTCATAGTTTGAAATTATATATTTGTTCAAAACTTACTAAAGAATTTTTGTACTCCTTTTGGAATAGTTTGAAAAATCTCACATCCTTGTTTTGGAATGTTACATTGGAAAGTATATATTTGGCCAAAACATACTACGGAGTTTTTGTCTTCCTTTTGGAATAGTTTGAAAAATCCCACATTATTTTGGAATGGTTTGAAGAATTTCACTTTTTTTTTGTGTGTGTGTGTGTGTGTGTTACATTAAAATATTACACTAAGGAGTTTTTTTTGTATTATATTGGAGTGTTATGTTTGGAAAAAGTACACTAATTTTTATTTTTTTTTGTGTTACATTTGAGTGTGACACTAAGGAGTATTTTTGAAGTGTTATATTAGAGAATGTTATGTTTGGAAAAAGTACAATAAAGATATTTTTTGGAGTGTCACAGTTTGAAATTATACATTTGCCTAAAATTTATTAAAGAGTTTTTTTATTCCTTTTGAAATGTTTGAAAAATCCTACATCATTTTAAAATGTTTGAAAAATCTTCTATTTCAAGTCATTGTTGTATTCCTTCTAAAATGTTTTCCAAATTAAAAAGATTCTCATATAGAAATTTATCTCAAATTTAATTCTCATACATTGTGTACCTTACATTTCTATTACAAATATAAAATAAAATAAAAAGAAGAAGGGTAAATGACAAATACACCCCTTGGGGTTTTATTAAAATACAAATCGCTCCCTGTGGCTTTAAAAATTACATTTCATCCTTTGAAGTTTCTAATTTCATAACAAATTGTCTATTTTATTAATAAATCATCAAGTCAATTAACAGTTTTTAATAATATTAAAAGTATGTTTCAATTAATAATTTAGGTAATTTTATTATTGTATAGGAGAATAATTATGAATTTTATTTTTTCAGTTAATTCTGTTAAATAAAAAATTCTAATAAGGGGGCATTTGTAATTTTTCAAACCACATGAATCAATTTGTATTTTAAGCAAACTTCAAGGTGTATTTGTAATTTACCCAAACAAGACATAATTTAAATAATGGTATAAATCGTAAATCTAATTTTAAATAATATATTAAATATATATTTTCTAAATCAATGGAACTAATTGGTCTATAAAAAAATCTTTAAAACTAAATGGATTATCATTCCACAAGATGGGATTTACAAATAAAATTTTAAATTTCTATTAAAAATTTGTCTTTTTCGTTTTTATTATTTTTCTTTCTTTTGTCACCTAAATTGGTTGAAACTAAAAAGCCAGTTAATTTGTTTTTGTTGTATGTGAATTAAATTGATTTAACAGTTACCCAAATCAGCAATGTTACCAACTCTCAAAAAACACAACTCTTATAACCTTACTTATCTGTAATTGGTACATGAATTAAAAAAAAATATATATATATATATATAATTGGTTCACATCATTTTGGGGTGTCCCTAACTTTGAGGTCCAAGCATTTTTACCCATTAAAATAGTTAAATATTAGTGGTATCATTCAGTAATTGCTCCAGACAATTCCAGCATGATCCTCTTTCAATTTATACGAACTCAAAAGTTGTTGCTGAAATTTCCTTGTTTGGGATAATTTACCCAAGTTAAAAAGTCAAAATTATTAAAAAAAGTCAAAAGTTCATATTATTTGGGAAAGTTTAGGAGGAAGCTTAGTGGGCAAAATTATTATTTTATCCTTTGAATTCATCTACTCAAAAGTCAAAAGTTTAAAGTGAAAAAGTCAGCAAGCATAGAATGGTCATTTTGATTTTACTACAATATTTTATTATACAACTTTTCGTAAAAAGTTAAAAAATTATCTCAAACATACATAATTTTCTCTACTTTTTAGCAAAAAAGTCAAAAAAATACACTTATATATCACATCCCATATATCAGGCTTCCAGGAAGGTGAGTGCCAATTTTGCTGTTGGATCTATATATATTTGAGTCAATCATATTTTATGCATCACTCACACACCAAAAAAAAATTGAGCAAATTCATTTTGGTGAGGCAGGAGGTATAAAAAAATTCGAAAGTGCAAGTACCAAATCTGAAGATATAAAAAGTCCATTTGAGTGATAGAGAGAGAGAGAGAAACTCGTTGGTGCTGTGTGGTGTAGAGAGTGCTTTCTGAATCAGGCAGGCAAGTAGGCGTGCATATGATATGCAGAAGATCCAATTATTTTCAAAAATATAATTATTAGCGATTTGGTAATGTAAGTATAATAAGTACATTCTTTGTATTTTGATTTGGGTGTGCAATTATAGTTGCTGGGTGTACTTAGGCTTGCGGTGTTTTGTTTCTTCTCTGTTTCTTTTTGTTTTTTGGGTTGTTGTTGATTGGCCTCTCATCAATCTCGGGCCTGTGCTAACATATAATTGTGCTGTCTCTCCGGTGCCATCTTAGATGGGATTGTAGAGCTTTAACTATGATGCTCGTTTTGCACAGCCTTGTTTTATTGACGTAAGTTCCTCATGTTTTGGTTCTTCATTAATAAAATTTTCTTTTGCTTTTGCTGACCACAAAAAAAGAAAAAGTAAAAAGTACATATATATACACACACACATTGACTCCACTGCAATAATATAATGATTCTTTATTTATTTGGGGTTATATTCTGTTGTACTAGTGAGTTGTGTGCATGCATCCCATCTGCAACTGCAACTGCAACTGCAATACACAAACAAACACTCTGTAATGTTGGTGTTATATAAAAAGAAAGAAAAAAAAATGGTTAATTGCATTTGTCTATCATATGATGAGTCAAATTCATATTTATATTTATATTTCCTGTTTGTTGTTTGTGTTTAGTAGAGAAAAAAGAGAAACTATCTCATCATGTGGTTGTTACTCTTGTTTTGTTTTCTGTAGAGATAGTTCCTTGTGATTCTTTCAGATAGATCAGATAGTTCACTCTCCTTTCAAATCAAATCCAATCCAATCCAGAGAAACTACACTTTTTTCAGGTATGTATCTTTTCTACTCTCTCTACTCTATGTTTCCTTCTAATTTGTATGTTTCTTCTATGAACAAAAATACTTTCAAAAACTTAATTACTACATGACAAACAGTGCACCAAAGTTGTTTGTCCTGAATTATTTCTTTACTTTATGTGTATTTTATTATTGTTTTTATCCAAATTCCAAATGTATGCCCAGTTTTCATTTCGATTGGATGGAATTTAGTCGCGATAGATTGAGAACAGACTTAACATTTAGCGTAATTTGGCCAAATTGCAATATGCCGTTAACTTAAAAACCCTAATCAACCCTAACCAAAGGAAGTTATAGTCATAACTTGCAGACATTGATGAGTTACCTAAATGGAGAGCAGGTAATTACGAAGGAAACACCTAACCTCCTTAGCAGAAACACACCTACATTTGGTGAAATATCAATATCATATAAGCCTTTTTGTGTTTTTGATGGGTCATAGCTTAGATTTAAACACCTAATTTGAGTCACATAAATATGAAAGTGAGATTGTTATTCGGCGGTCTTTGTCAAATGTGTTTTTGCAACTCTTCAATACAAGTTAAACGTGATAGGCTGGCTTCCCTGCTTTTAATTTGTCTATTTTTGACAAAATATCACTTTACTTTATGAATTTACACTAAAAATTCAAACATGCTATTCAAACTCTTTACTTGACCCGTTTGAACTTTATCACATGGTTTGAATTAAATTTGAATTTGAATAATGAAGATGTAAAGTGTGAGCTGTTTTTTCCTAAGTTGAAAAGTTTAGATTGATGGTCATGTTAACTTGGTTTAAGCTAAGAAATTGATATTTCTAAATAATTTAGAGGTTCTATTTGTATATTTTTATAATTTAGGGAGTTAAAATAATATTTTTTTTAGTAATTTATGGGTCTTTATGTAAATAACCCAACATCTAGCTAAACAATAAATTTTTCTTTTGAGAAATAGTATAAAAAATATGCAATTCGATCATATAATTATTGATATCCGATTAATATAATTTTTGATAGGCATGAAGTACTCAACAAATCCTACAAAATGAACAGTTCGGATCATAAAAATAAGTTCATAATACACTTCAAATTAAAGCACAACAGTCACTGCTTGGCCTTTAACAATCATACGTGCAATGCTTTAATTTATTCGAGGAAGATGTATGGCATCTAAAAGTGAGATGGTAATTAATTAGTTTCGCACACTCATATGCCATGACATTCGTTAGTAAGGGTGTGCAAAAAAATCAACGATTCACACGTCAAAACCGACTCAAACCAACCTTTGCAATTTGAGAAAGTGAGCGGGTTAAATAATAAAAAGAGAAATTTTACCCACCATCATTCTAATTTTATTTTTTTTTATTACATCTTTATCCCTCAATCAAGTTAAATAAAATCTTGATTTTTTAATGGTAAATATGTATATATTCTCTAACAAGAAGTTTGGTTTGAATTTGAGAATCAATTTTCCGAATTTTTTTTCAAAAATAAAAATTAATTTGATAAAATAAATATTAAAAAATAATTTAATTTTTTTAAAAAACTATTATTACTCTAAAAATTATAAAATTATATAAAATAATAATTATTTATTATTTATTATTATTTCTTACTAAATTAATTTAAATACATTTAAAAAAATTAAAAATCAAACCAAAGAGAGACAATAACAAATATGTGATGGAAAAATTAAAGAATATCGAAAGGCTTCTTCAATTTTACAAAAAGTATTTCTGATGTACCAAAAAAAAAAAAAATTCTTACAAAAAGCTACAATGCAACATCATCATCATCATCATCAAACCTTTCTTTTGCTCGTGGCCCATCTGCGGTTGACTGTGATGAAATTATAAATTCGTTTGCTACAACTTTTTATAAAGTAGACAATTTCAAGGCATGGAAATGTTGTGTGAACCATGGATAAATTATACTAACGTTCATATGTTTAAATATTACAATATTATAACTTAATCCTATATGAAACTCATAATTCAAAAAAAAAAAAATTTAATCAAACATTATGAAAGGTATATATAATTAAAAAGTTTTTGAATTATAACTAAAATAATATTATAATTAATATCACAATAAATCATAATAAACATAACAATATGTCATACCAAAAATTACAAAGGTTATAATTCGGAGTGCATTGAATTTCCTTCAAAAACAAATGGTAATAAGTGTCCCATGGACATTATTTAATGTTAGACGTGTATAAAAAAGCTCTTAAAAATATGTAAAAATATTAAAATGTGTATTAATTTTAATAAAAATTTATTGAAATTAGTAAAAGGTATATTATGTTCTACAAATATTTTGTTTTTTTACTTATACCCTAGAAACACTTGTTAGCAAAATCCTAATTTAAAAGTTAAAATTAAAGTTAAAAACGCTCTCATCCTAACTTTTAAATAATTAATTTTTTTAACTTATTTAATAACACCATCAATTTCATAAGACCTGACTTATTGAATATAACCCATATTCATCATATATTTCCAATTATCAATTGTATCAATCACGTGGAAGTGATAAACTATCTCAAACACATCGTTAATCACATCATAGTAATTCTCGACTATCATCATATTTCATTCAAATGTTCTAAAATAATTTTACATGCATTGAAAAATTCCCGGCCATACAAGCTTGAATCTACAATATGTAAATTACAAGTTATAGTATTGAATAAAAATATAAAACATATGCCCTAAAGGCTTACAAGGTCTAAGGGTCTTAATCTATTACATCAAAATGGATTTCAACCCCAAATACAAGTTAGCCTTTGGCTTTACAAAAATGAAAGCAAAAGCAAGTCCAACACATGTGAAGGATCAGGCTCGTACTTTTGAAGCAAAAGTTTAATGAGACAAGAATGCACAATGTCTCATTGTCACATTTTAAAAAGAATGACAAAATTTGATAAAAATTTAATAAGACAATACTGCACATATTAGAATGATATCTTATTTTTTTACGAATGACACATTTGACAAAAGTTTAATAAGATAATATGAACAAATGTCCCATTGTCACATATTAAGAAGAATAATAAATTTGGTAAAAATTTAATAAGACAATAATATCTCATTGTCACATTTTAAGGATGACACAGTTGGTAAAAGTTTAATAAGACAATATTGCACAAATAAAGTGCACCCACATTTGGATTCCCTAAGAAATAGAGTAAAACGATCTCATGGTTTACCTTTTCGGAGGAAAAAATATGGGTAAATAAGTTACCTCAAGCGAAAACGGTCTGGATCGAAATACTTGATTTACAAGTCTCATCTTGCTAACCCTTCGTTGTTTGAGAAGCTACTAGAGTTTCCCAATGTTTTATCTATACTCCAAATGCCTAGATTCAACAATGGTGACCTAGAGGAAAGAATAGAAAGAGAAATAATTTTGCAAGAGATTTTTTAGGTAAAACTCACACTATAATACGTATCCCTATATCTGATATATGAGAAATATCTTTATAGATAGGAGTGGTGTTGTAGTCTTCTACAACAACTCAACTACCTCCAAAAGATAATCTCCCTATTTATCTTAATTGTTTAATAAGTGAATTATCTATAACCCATGTGGATGCTTCATGGGTAATGGGTCAGGTCAAATCCATCCCAATTTCCAACATTTTTCAAATTCAATAGGACTTAATTGTCTATAAAAAAAATGAAAAATAGTCTTCAAGCTTACTTTCTAGATCTATTTTCTAGACTCAATGATGTGTAAGAGAGATGATTGGTTAATAATTAGAAAATATATGATAAAGAAAATTGTCTTAGATATTATAATTGATTGTCACATCATTGGGTTTGTAAAGTAAGTATAACTTTTGGATATAAATGGAAATGTCAAAAAAATTGATGGGACTTTCCGATACCTACAACCTTTATACATGTTGCAATAAACAAAATCGCAATTTGTGAGGAACCCTCGACCATACTTTCCACCACATTTCTTAGAAGTCGGCAACTGACACCACACCCACTAACCTATCGATATGGATATTCATGTGTCATTTGTTGGTGGTTTAGGTTGGTAGAGAAAGACTCTGCTATAATTCAAAAACTTATTCCTTACTTTTTTACTAGTTTTTCTTTCTTTCTTTTAAATTTTGCCAATTGATTAATTACAATTTAAGAATAATTACATTAAACTAAGTAATTAATAATTTAAGAATATATAATTAAAAATTTAACAACCATTTTAAAAAAATAATTCATGAGAACAAATATAAGACTCAATAATATAATTCCTATAATAGATAATAAAAAAAAACTTATATTTACCTTTAATAATAATAGTAGGATGGCTAACCATGATGCGTAGCCAACTAGTGAATTATAATTAAATAAAACTTGCCTCTTGATATAAAGAACAAGAATTGCTTTTATTTTTAATAAAAACTGATCCCTTACTTTTTTTTAAAGTAAATGAAAAACAAACACTAGCTATTCTCACCTATATAAAGGGCTCACAAGACCTACACATTTTTACATGGGAAAAAAAATCATACAAAAATTACACTAAAAAGGGGAGGAGAGAGAGCAAGTTTTAAATCTTGTTTGTGTGCTGGGTCATTTAAAGTAGGGGTGTAACTTGAGCGGATTTGATCGGGTTGGAGGTTTGCCTAAGCTCAACCCGAGTTATGTTTGGTAGTGCTCAAGCTCGACCATCAACCCGTGCATGGCTGCCCAAGCCCGGACCAAACTTCATAATTTGAACTCGGGTTAGCAGAATTGCCTGAATTTCACAAGGCAACAAACAACTTCTGAATTTTTCCATACAACAAACAGTGCTTCATTATTCCATGCATAAGTCCATACAACAAACTTAAACATCATCCTAGCCACAAACACTATCAGCTTGCTTGTTTTCATTTTTCAGAAAGGGTAATGATTGAGACCCCCTCCAATCACCACCCCCACCACCCCCCACAGACACGTGGCGGGTGGTGATTGGAGGAGAAGGAATAAAA